GGCCGGGGTCGGGCCGTCGAGGCCCCGCCCTCCCCCTTAGTCGCGGCTTTGGAGGCCGCAGGTTTGCGGCTCCTCTCCACCGCCGCGTCTCCGCCTGAGACAGGGGGAGGGGCCCCCCTCTTCTTCTTCTTTTTCCCCGTCTCAGCGGATGCCCCCCTATCTGCCCCCGTACCCCCCGGATGTTTGGGGGGTGTTGGGAGGTCGAACCCAAGCGCTCTCAGCGCTCCTGGCAGGGCCGCCGCCAGTGCCCTGGCTAAGCCGCCCTCCCCCACGTCGGCCTCAGCCTTCCCCCGGCCTTTCCCGATGCGGGGGGTGGGCGGGACCCTGGCCGGTGGGTCTCCCAAGACTTTGGGGGCACCCCTAGTCGATGGCCCGGCCTCCGGACTGCGGGCCCCGTCCTCCGCCGCTGACTGCGGAGGGCTCCCGGATCCCCCCCGAGGGGATGACGGGGACAGTGCTGCCCTCGTTCTCGCCATCCCCCTGCTCTTCTCCGACCTAGCAGGGGGGGCAGCACTCAGCGCCTGTACGCGCTCGTTTGCGGAAGCTAGTTCCCTTCTCAGGGAACCAGCTTCCGCCTCTAGTTTGTCGACGCGGTCCCTCAGCTGGCGGATCGTCTCCGCCTCCGAGGGGCCCGCGTCGTCTCCCTGTGCCCTGCCGTTTAACACCGCGACTGCAGCGGTAACGGTGGTCGCGGCATTCCCCAGGGCCTTTACGGCCCGGCCTTGGAGGTTGGACGAATTGGCCGCGATCCTCTTCACGTCGGCCACCCTCTCTGTGACCAGGGCCGCGATGTCCCCGGACGAATTTGTACGGAGCCGCTCCTCCAGCTCCTTCGCCCGGAGGTCCTCCGTCTTGGCCCTTCTTGACTCGACCCTGGTGTCCGGGTCGAGCATTCTGTCTTTTTCTCGGGCCATCCTCCTGGCCTTTCTCGCGTCAGCGGTCTTCTGACGCTCCGCCAGTGTGAATTTCCCCTCGTGTGAGGGGTCGAGGGCTGGCCGGCCCGGGCCCCTCCTGGGGGTTTCCAGATCGTCGAGGAGGGCGGACGTATCCTCCTCCTCGCTATCGTCCTGGTCGACGTCCATCGGCTTGTCCGCTTTTCTCTTACCCAGGTAAGAGCTACTGGACAAGGACGTCGACGATGCTATGGACGAGACGGAGTCCGACCGAGGTCGCTAGACAGGCCTTCCTCCCTGCCACCGAATCCCTTCGCCGCGTACCACAGCTCAGGATTAGGGGTGGTTTTTTAAAGAGGTCCACATCCTCGCGGCCCAGGCGGTGAAGCCAAGGCCCCCGATCCCCAGAGACATGACCGTAAGGACCGGTATAAGCGGCCCGGAAGAACACCTCCCGGGACAGGGACGCCGTTAGCCCCCGAGGCCTCCTGCGGCCTCGGGGGAGCCCCTCTGCCACGGCAAGGCCGCGTCCATGAGAGGGGAACATAACTTAACCAAATCTGAGCTCACCTAACGTATCCTTGCCTTAACTAACATAACTTAACCAAATCTGAGCTCACCTAACGTAGCCT